AAAACCCCAAAACCCCAAAACCCCAAAACCCCAAAACCCCAAAACCCCTAAGCATTACTTAACCACTGATGTTAGAAATAAGATAGTTAATAATTTTTATTTTCTTTTAAGACGTATCAAAGATGTTCAGCATTAGAAGGTAGGAAAATTAGAAAAAGAAGAATCTTGTCTGTATTGGCTTTAATAAGGATACTCACCTATACACTTGACTCTTGGACTAGAAGTTAACCTTACTATATAGAGCTGCCACTAAAATGGGTGCAAGACCAGCAAAGAATAGTTTGCAGATTATCCCATCCAGAAATTTTGCTATCCATAAGTTGAAGGGGAAGCTAGCAGAGATGATCCCAGTAGTCCAAGGAAGACTCAACACTCTTAAGAAGGAGCATGGAGATAAGGTCTTGGAGACTGTTAAAGTTAACCAAGTAATTGGAGGAATGAGAGGTATGACTGGACTTGTTTATGAGACTTCTAAACTCTCTGCTACCGAAGGAATCAGATACAGAGGACATAGTCTTGATGAAATCATGAAGATGGCTCCATCCTTTGTTGAAGGAGGATCTCCAGCCCCAGAGGGTATCCTTTGGTTACTCCTTAGTGGAGAGTATCCAAATAAGCAGGAGCTGGATGATGTCGTGATTGATTTGAAAGAGAGAAGTTACATTCCTGAGGAGACCATTGAACTCATTAGATCATTTCCTAAAAACATGCATCCAATGACCCAATTCTCCATGGGTATGCTTGCTTGCCAGAGTATGTCTACCTTCGCTCAGCATTACAGAGCTGGTATTGCCAAGAATAAGTACTGGGAAGCCATGTTTGATGATTGTATCAATGTTGTTGCTAAGAGCTCAAAGGTTGCAGCCTTAGTCTTTAATAATATCTATCATGATGGTAAACACCTTCCTGAATTTTTTGACGACAAACTCGACTTCGGAGCTAAGTATGCACACATGCTTGGATACGATAGTGAAGATATGTACGAATTGATGAGACTTTACCTTGTCCTCCACATGGATCATGAAGGAGGTAATGTCAGTGCTCATGCCAACAGATTGGTAGGATCTGCACTTTCAGACCCATATCTTTCATTCTCAGCTTCCTTGAACGGACTTGCTGGACCTTTACATGGATTGGCTAACCAAGAATGCTTGAGATGGTACTTAGAAATCTTGGACAAGTATGGAAAACACTGGAACAAAGACGACATTGTCGAACATGTGCATCACACTTTCGATAGCGGTAGAGTCGTCCCAGGATATGGACATGCTGTGCTTAGAAAGACCGACCCAAGATTTACTCATCAGCTAGAATTTGGTTTGACCCATTTCCCAACCGACAACTTGATCCAGTTGGTCAATGCTTGCTACGAAGTGATCCCAGAGTTGCTTCCAAAGATCAAGCCATCGATTGCTAACCCATATCCAAACGTCGATGCTTGTTCTGGAGCACTCCTGATGCACTTCGGTCTGAACCAATTCGATTACTACACTGTACTGTTCGGAGTGTCAAGAGCATTCGGAGTGATGTCTTCTCTGTTATGGGACAGAGCACTTGGACTCCCAATCGAAAGACCAGGATCAGTCACAGTTGAAGGACTTCTTGAGAAAGCAAAGAATCTTGATTAGATTTTTACAATATTTCGTGTTTCCACATATACTCTTTACTAGGGGTTTTGGGGTTTTGGGGTTTTGGGGTTTTGGGGTTTTGGGGTTTTGGGG